GAGTGTGGTCGCCCGCCCCCCCCCCCCTCCACATTAGTAATTTAACACAAGTAGCTGAAAATAACCTTCATTTGTGAGGCTTTTAGCGTATAGCGCGTTGGTGGAGAGGTTTTCTCTCTTTGAGAGGAGTGCATCTGTGTGTGGGTGCTTTTGTAAGCTAGCTGGAATGCTCTAGTACCGCAATGCTAAGATGGCTGCCAAGCGTTAAGATGGCTGCCAGGATTCCATACAACAGCAGCAGCAAGCGAACGAGGGGGTGCGAGAGAGAGAAAAGAAGGAAAGAGGGGGGCTATCGTGTTAATTTTTTCCTTCAAAATGTGTAGTGTAGGTTTTTAAAACCACATTCTGTTGCTGCACATAATTAGCGGTGCATGCTAAGGCCAAACAGCACTACTGCTAAATTTCGAGGCAAATCTAGAGACCAGAATATCATAGAAGTGTGGACTGTTTTGACTTGGGCTAGTAAGCGAATATCCAGAACCCTCCTAGCAACTAGCAAACATGCTAAAAAACACTAAGTATGATTGGCTAAAGAGGTGAAACATTCATAAATACTCACAGCAGACTGAACGGAAAGGCCAAAGTAACTAAGTGACTTTCCTCTTAAGGTCTATAGTTAATCAAAACCTCAGTGCATATAGAAAAAAAGGGTTAGTGAGTCTCGGCCAATTCAAACAGCCGCAGGGGTCTGGTCTCGCTCCAAGATCGCTATACTTTCTAAGATAAAAAGCCTACGGAGACATTGTCCAAACAACTCGATGGCTGCGCACCAGCCTTTGTCTACATCTTATGAGCTATACGGCAGAGTTGGGTTTCACCAGGCTGCTCTCTGATGTATATTTTGCAGATTTATAGATTTTAGATTAGCAGTGCAACTTCAAGCCTAAAATGGACAACGGTGACATAAAACCACAAAGCTGTGTTTTTTCATTGGACCCGACTGACCAAGTCCAGTTGTGTTTTTTAACACACCTATGGTCTACATTGCCGGACTAAAGATCTTGTTTCATGGTCGAAAAGTTTTGTGGTTTTATGTGTAGATATTGATATTGTTGTAAATAATCGAATATAAACGTTGTTTATCGACCTAGGTAGAATTTGATTCTGAAATCTATGTAATTCGAGGTGTTATTCAAGTCTGTTTTGTTTAATACTTAAGGCTACACGTTTGTTCACTAACCAACCCAAAGTATGAACAATAGTAATGGTAATCTGTTATCAAATCTACAATAGCATTAAAAAAGTAAAAATAAAAAAAAAAAGAAATTAATACTTTAATTCAGGAATGATGCATTAATTTGATCAAAAGGGACATTTATAATGTTGCAAAAGATTTATATTTCAAATAAATGCTGTTCTTTTGAACTTTCAATACACCAAAGAATCCTGAAAAACTGTATCACAGTTTCATAAATGTTTTTAACATGATAATTTCTTGAGCAGCAAATCAGAATATTATAATAATTTCTGAAGGATCAAATGACACTGCAGGAATGAATTACATTTTAAAATATATTAAAATAGAAAACAGTTATTTAATTTGTGATAATATTTCACAATATTACTGTTTTTACTTACGTTTTTCAAATAAATGCAGCTTTGGTAAGCATAAGAGACGACTTTCAAAAACATTTTAAAAAATCCTTTTGAATGATAATGTATAACAAGTCAAATACCAACTAATAACAAGACCATCAGATTTCAGATATGAAGATCCAAATTTTGCCTGAGTATCATGTAAATGATCCAGAACTGGAGCACATTTTGCATGTCTCATTTCCAGCTGTGTCGTCTCAGCGCTACATTGAATATGTGCTGGCAGAGAATATATAGAATGTTCTACATCTGCTAATTGATTCAGGCACCTTTGGACTGAGCCCAGCCATCCCATGTTTAATCTGCTCTCTTTTTTTCCCCTCCTGTCTTTCTCTCTCTCTCTTTCTTTCTGTCGGCTTTGCAGAATCTGGACAATCAGATAACTCCAACCAACAAGGAGAAGCAGACATCAAGCCTCCGCCCAATGGTGGGTCAAGCAAAACGAAAATCTCACACACTCTCACAAACAACTACACACTCAAAGGTTCTAAAAGGATTTGCAGCCTAATGCCATTCAGACCAGAAATTAAAGTCTTAATTTACTCAAATTCATTTTAATTTAAAATAAAGGAGGAACCAAGAAGTTCTTGGTTCCCCAAAGAACTGTTCAGTTAGATTCTTAAAAGAACAACACTATAAAAATTCAACTTCCATTTTGTCAGACAAACTCTGTTTTAGAAATATCTCCATATAACCTTTTTAGTTTGCTAAGCAAACTGAAAAACGAGTTTGACAAACTACAAAGTTCTACATCTCTATTACTGTATGTGATGTTAATGCTCAGCTTCGCTTAAAATGCTAGCTTATTGAACTTGGATCCATAAGTAAAAAGCATCAGCTTTGATTTGGTAGAACTTGTTATATTGTGTTTGTTGAAAGTACAGTCCAACTTTAAATCGCTACAATATTCTTTTTACCATAAAGACCTCAAGTTTTTGAGTTGTGAATTTTAAAGTGCGTTTTTTTGTTTTGTTTTGTTTTCATAGAGTGAAGAACATTTTAACCATATAAAGAACCTTTTTCCACTGCAAATAAGAGTTTTTTTTCCCAATGGAAAGGATCTTTATGAAACCACAGTGGAAATAAAGAACCTTTAATTTTAAGAGTGTTCAAATCTTTCCAAACTCCAGACTCCAGAGTAAATATTGATTCATTTTGTTGAAAATTGTTTTAATTTACGAAAATCCTTCAAATTAACTCTTCAAAATAAAGGTTCTTTATTAGCTTCTATTGGTTTCATGAAGAACCTTTAAAAAACCATGGAACCTTTTCATTCCACAAAAGGTTCTTCAGATTATTGAAATGTTCTTCACACTAAGAAAAGAAAGGTTATTTTACGAACTTTTAACTGAAAGCTTCTTTGGGTCCCACTTTATATTAAGTGGCCCTAATACCTGTGTACTTACATAGTAACTAGATGTGTACATAATATGTAACTAACCACAGTGTAAGTACATATTGGTACATAGTATCTACAGCTGTAATGTCTGTGTAACTACACATATGTAACAACCTACTGAATGGTATGTGTAAATACAAATGTGTAACAGGACATTGGTAACAACACTTTTTGGTAATGAAAGTACAAATGTGTAACAGGACTAACAACACTTTTTGGTAAAGGAAGTGTTACACTTTATATTACGTAAACAATTCCTATGGATTTACCATGTAATTACTCTGATGTTACACAGCAGCGGCCAGTAGGTTACGCTTTACATATAAATTGTGGTTGGTGTCCAGAATGTTACACTTTATATTAAGTGGACAGTTCCTGAGGAGTTACCATGTAAGTACAGTGGTGCACCAACTCCACCAACTTGAGATCCAACTCCTCCCACTTTACATATCCCTAAACCTACCCATCTCCACCCCCTGGATCAAATTGTTCCATTTACTCTTAAACATATTGTTGTTACAAAATGTAGTTATATATGTCCTGTTACACATTTGTACTTACACAAACCATTCGGAGGGTTGTTACATGTTTATTTAGTCATTTATTTGTTGTTACATGTTCAATTCAATTCAATTTTATTTGTATAGCGCTTTTCACGATACAAATCGTTGCGTAGCTGCTGTTCCAACCAAGCAAAAATGATTTGTTTAACCCAAACTAACGAATAATAATGTGCATTTGATTAGATATAACTGCAGTAAAAGATTATGACTGCAGTAAAAGATTATGAGATGGATTATTTGAATGCTTGGCCAAAGAGATGTGTCTTTAATCTAGATTTAAACAGAGAGAGTGTGTCTGAACCCCGAACGTTATCAGGAAGGCTATTCCAGAGTTTGGGAGCCAAATGCGAAAAAGCTCTACCTCCTTTAGGGGACTTTGCTATCCTAGGTACTACCAAAAGTTCAGAGTTTTGCAACCTTAGGGAGCGTGATGGATTGTAGCGTGGTAGAAGACTAGTTAGGTACGCAGGAGCTAACTCATTAAGGGCTTTATAGGTAAGTAATAATATGTTGTAACTGATACGGAACTTAATGGGTAGCCAGTGCAGAGAGTGTAAAATTGGGGTAATATGATCATATTTTAAGGACCTGGTAAGGACTCTAGCCGCTGCATTTTGGACTACCTGTAGCTTGTTTATTGAAGATGCAGAACAACCACCTAGCAGTGCATTACAATAGTCCAATCTAGAGGTCATGAATGCATGAACTAGCTTTTCTGCATCAGAAACAGGTAACATGTTTCGTAGCTTGGCAATGTTTCTAAGATGGAAGAATGCTGTTTTTGTAACATGGGAAATATGATTTTCAAAAGACAAGTTGCTATCTAATATAACACCCAGATTTTTGACTGTAGAGGAGGTAACCGTACATCCGTCTAGTTGCAAATTGTAATCCACGAGATTCGGCGTACTGTCTTTTGGTCCAATAAGTAATATCTCTGTCTTATCCGAATTTAATAGGAGAAAATTATTGGTCATCCATTCTTTTACATTTTTAACACACTCTGTTAGCTTAGATAAGTTTCATCTGGTCTTGTTGAGATATAGAGTTGAGTATCATTAGCATAACAGTGGAAATGAATCCCGTATTTTCTAATAATATTACCAAGGGGCAACATACAGTATATATTGAAAATAGCAGATGACCTAGGACAGATCCTTGTGGAACTCCATATTTTACTGGTGATAATTGAGATGACTCCCCATTTAAATGAACAAAGTGGTAGTGATCGGACAGGTAGGATCCAAACCATCTTAAAGCCTGCCCTTGAATACCTGTATTAGTTTTGTAATCGATCTATGAGTATGTCATGATCTATAGTGTCGAACGCAGCACTAAGATCAAGTAAAACTAGCAATGAGATGCAGCCTTGGTCTGAAGCAAGAAGCAAGTCATTTATAATTTTAACAAGTGCAGTTTCTGTGCTATGGTGGGGCCTGAAACCTGACTGAAATTCTTCATAGAGATAATTTTTTTGTAGGAAGGAGCACAATTGCGCAGACACAACTTTTTCAAAAATTTTAGACGTAAAAGGAAGATTTGAAATGGGTCTGTAATTTGCCAGTTCACTAGGATCTAGTTGTGGTTTCTTAATAAGCGGCTTAATAACCGCCAGC